AATTTGAATATATGATATATGTTCTCCCCATCAAGAATTGTCTAAAAATCAATACAGTAAAAATGATTTTACTGGTTAGTACCTTTATGACTTTATTTAAAATTTAATATAATATGGTTTGATGTTTGAGAATTTAATTATGAGGAAAAAAAGCACAACCAACATTTCAAATTACACCATGGCTTTGGACGTTTATAAATGTCATTCATATTTATTTTCCTTTAATTGAAGAACAATATAATATGGTCTCATGTTTGAGATTTTAATCATGAGGAAAGAAAAGCACAACCAACATTTCAAGTTGCACCATTGCTTTGGATGTTTATAAACGTCATTCATATTTTACCTATAATTGATGAACAATAAAATTGCAAAACATATTGATGGTTTTCTCGTTTCTGTTGCATCTTCCTTGCAACCAAAACTTCCTTACTTGCATACCACATTACAAAGGTCAAAATGAGCCAAAAAATTAGTTGACTGACAAATATACATAAACTCTAGCAAGATAAATAAAGTAATTGCAAAGTACAGCAAAGTAAGTTTGATATTTCAGAAATTGCAATGTATTTGCAAAGTACATTGCTATTTCTTTTAAAAAATTAAACTTTTTCCTACATTCCAAGATGTATGATAACTGAAACTTACAAAATGATCAAAGGTTCTCAATTATAACAATGTACTCTGAAAGTACAAATGGGATTGTTTTCAAGGTACAATGTCGAACATGTGTAAAGAGAAATATACCCTTTTAGGTATACATAGCAATAATATACATAAATACACAGCATTACACACATAAAAAACTGGAAACTGAAGAACAATTAGACCTAGATACTTCATAATTTTTAAAAAATAGAATATTATTCTAGCAAAAATTGGGGATTCAATAAAAAGATTGCACACAAAATGTCAACTAACTAAAAATTAATATACGAAATCATCATAATCATTCGATCCTTATTTAGATAAGAAAAATTTTTTAGAGCAAATAGGAAACCAAAAAGTAAAGAAATCCAAGATGGTAGAACTGGATGATTTATCAAACAAATTAAATTTCACAACCTTTTTTTTTCTTCAGAAATCGACTTTCAATGATTTTTTTCCGAACATAGAGATACAAAAAAGGGAAATTGTCATAAAAGCCTTTAAGTTTTCCAAAAAATGTCGGTTTTACCCTTGGATGAGTTTTTGGGGTATTAAAGCCGGATACTTTCACTAAATGAATCAAATATCTCATTTAACAGGTTGGACCCTTAGTAGCCGGTTACCCATGTGCTGATTTGGCATTTAATTGAGGAGTTGGCACATCCGTTACATCTGTTACGTCCGTTTACTCCTTATCTCAACCTTTTGCACGTAAAAGTATACTTTCTCAGAATCGTTACATCATTCATCGCAAAATTAGGGATTTTTCAAGAAGATTAGGTTATTGGAGAGTCGATTTCACATGGTATGTGTAATTTCTTTGAAGATTGTGTTATTACAGTTCTTTGTTCTTCAGAGGTTAACAAATAACGATAATGTGTGTTTTTTCAGGTTGTTATGATGGATTGGGATTCAGAAGACAAAGGCAACACATACCCATTTTTTGGTTTACGCGATCCTTTCTCTGGTCATAATGAGATGGATTTTGAGCTTCATGGCATCTACATGGATCATGAACCAGACGAAGAGTTCATTACTCCACTAGACAAGTGTAAGGATACATTTCTTAATGTGTTACTAACTGATGAAATTATTAGAAACTCTAGTTTGACTGATGATGTAAGAGCACAAGTGTATCATGGTCGTGACTTACAAAGTGATGAAGACGAAGAAGAGCAAGAACAGGTGATAAACAAGTACATAATACATGATCCAAAAACAAGATGGGATAAAATGGAACCAAAACTTGGTGACATGTTTGAGAATGTTACACAACTGAAGTTTTGTATTCAAAACTACGCAGTCCACAATGGGTATCAATTCTACTTTGAGAAGGGTGACAGTACAAGAATACTTGTAAGATGTGGGAAAACAAATGAGGATAATGGTTGCCCTTTCAGACGGTATGCCTCATGGATGTTCAATGAAAGATCTATTCAAATCAAGACTTTAGAAGCTACTCATGTTTGTGGTAGGAAGTTCAAACTTGGCTCTATGGTTACTCCTGAATGGATAGGTAGACACTACATAACTGAAATTGCAAATAAACCTAAGGTGAAGCTTAAAGAGATGATTACTGACATCAGACAAAGGTTTAGGTGTGCTATGTCTATAGGCCAATGTCGTAGGGCCAAGAAGTGGGCCAAGGAGCTAATTGAAGGTAAATTAACTGAACATTATGCCAGAATATGGGATTATGCACAAGAGTTGTTAAGATCCAATCCAGGCTCTACATGTAAGGTGTGTGTAACTGTCAATCCAGATGGATAAACTATTTTCATAAGTTTTATATTGGTTTCAAAGCTATATGTGAAGGCTGGAAAAGAGGGTGTAGAAGAGTTATTGGTTTGGATGGGTGCTTTCTTAAGGGAGCAGTAAAGGGTGAGTGGTTGACAGCCATGGGTACATATGCCAATAATCAGGTCTATCCAATTGCTTGGGCTGTTGTGGATGTTGAGAATAAGGCTAACTGGACATGGCTCCTTGAGCTTCTAAGGGATGATTTAGATCTTGATAGTGGAAGAGGTTTGGTAGTGATATCAGATCAACACAAGGTAAAATTTTACATACTTGTCCTCTACTTAATTGCATAGTTATCTTATTACATATTTCTCCTCTATTAAACTAATTAAATGATTGTCTTGTAGGGTCTGCTTGAATCTGTGAAAGATATACTGCCTCATGTTGAACACATGAATTGTGCTAGGCACATTTATGCCAACTTTAGAAAGGCTTTCACAGGTTTGGAATATAGGAAGTTGTTTTGGGCTGCCTCTATGAGTTGCACACAAGGTGACTTCAAGAGGCATATGGAAAGCATCAAGAAATTGAACCCTTCTGCATATGAATACTTGATGTCAAAGCAACCAGAAACATGGTGTAGAGCCTATTTTGGATCAGGCTATGCATGTGAAGCAGATGAGAATGGGATCTCAGAGTGCTTTAACTCAATAATATTGGATGCTAAGAAAAAAACCTTTGATCACCATGCTTGAAGAGATATGGATTTATATCATGGACAGGTTTGCTTACATGAATGACGAAAGTGAAAAGTGGAATTCAAATGTTTGTCAAAAAATTTTGAAATAATTGAATAGATTTGGGAAAAATATGAGGTATTATCTTATGCTTTCTAAAACTTGTCTTAATCATTAATTATTGTTACTAACTAGATACTTGATTGTAGGTTATGGGGAATAATTCATAGTCAAGAGCATGTGTTTGAGGCCAGAAGAGGGTGTGACCGTTATAGGGTGGACTTAGATGATATAACTTGTTCATGTATGTGACATCCCCTAATTTCTCGGCCAGAAAAGACCGATTTAATTTATGCTTTTAAAACAAAGTCAGAGAAATATTTTTAAAAGATGTTGCGGAATTGGTCCCCAAAACAAAACATGATAAAAGTTTATCAAAACCTTTCTTTAAGAAAGTATATAT